CCTTCGTTCTGCTAGAAAACAGAAAACGGCATTAACGAGAGGACTTATATTATTATTGTTAATAAAACCATATAATTTTGAGTAAAATTTAATTAAATGAGTAGTGAAAATTGTAAAGTGAATGTTAATAAATGTAGGGAGAAATTAAAAGCGAGAAAAATAAATAAATTGTTAAATGAAATTAAAATAATAATTAAACTTTTGGAAAAAAAGAAAAAAGGTATATAAAGTATTAATACTTACAATGTAAAGGCTGTGATCTGTTATTTTAAATTATGGAATTTATGGTTGACTAATTAGTAATTAATGAGAGAATGAAAAAATAGGACTGATTAATGGATTTTGTCTTAACTGCTTTGAAGAGTTCTAGGCTTCTAGCACATGTTGAGGAGTTTGTACTGCATGATAATTATTTATCATCTTCTTAGATTCTTCTCTCCCCAACACATATTCACGACATGCCTTCATTTGGTAGTAATTTTTCATCTAAAAAATCAATTTTTTGACTGTTATTTCACTATTTCAGCCGTCATTTTTGACTTTTTCTTTCATAGATGGGATCCATTTTTTTCTCTAACTGTAAAAAAATCAATTCTCATAATTACTGCCGAGCAGGCCCTATGTTTGAGCTCCACTGTTTAAAATTATAATGAAAGGTATTGGTATTTATTTTCAAAATTGCATGGTTAAAAAGGAAGGAAATATTAAAAATCTACGTGTAATATTATACTATTAGAGAATGTATGATTGATAAAAACATAAAGAAAAAGAAATTTTAATTTAATGGAGGCCAAACAGGGTTCAGTATCTATGGTCCAGAATCAATTGTCCAAATTCAAGTCTTTTGTAATTACATTCTTGACTTTTGATCAGTACTAAATAAAAAAACAATTATGGTCATAAATATGAAAATAAAAAAATAAAAAATTTCAAAGCAATGGGATCTTTTTGTTTTATTTATATGTAAAGAATAAAAATTAAAAGAGGATAGAGTAATTTTTTGTCTTTTTATTTTTTACCATTAAATTTACGCGAGGCTTTTACTATGTTACAAATGACAATGGAAACCGAGCTGCTTTGTAGGTTGGACCAATTAACAGCAAGGAAGAGGGAAGTTCATCAGCAACTGCAGCTACTAATTCATTTCTGCGAACTTTGGAAAGTGCTTCATGGTATTCCTCAATTGTGCTTATTTACTTACTGCCAACTGAAGAAAGCAAGCTTATAATCAGGGTCGAACATTCTATACGAATATATGCTGTCGATCGTTTACTGGAAGAGTCTCCTTGGTCAGAGTCAAATTATTGATTCTTGGCTAAGCCCATGGTCGTGCCCCAAGACGAGACTGATTACTTATACTTTGACAGAATCATACGAAATTCCAGACGTGACTTTTAAATTCCGCTAAAATCTAATTTGACCTTAAACATCATGTTCAGAATATATAGGAGAGGAAATTTATCCCTTTCTGTTTCCAGGAAAAAACTGATAGATGCCTCATGACCGCCATCTTTTCAGAATACATTATATTTTATGGAAATGCAAATATATTTAATCTGGTTAGTTATACTGAATTAAGAAATAATCAAGGAGTAGACTTCTACCTATTTGAACCCGGGCCTGCTGATGAAATGTATCACCAGATTTATATAATTCTATTTCAGTTTGAATCAGGGGCGGACTCAGACAGTTCGAACAGTGGGGTCAAATTTTTTTTTTCGAATAACGAATCATGAACAAAAAGGAAAAATTGGTTGTTTGCTGTTCATGTTCAGTGTTTGCACTTTGAGAACAAATCGGTGGATTATATAATATATCTATGGACTAAATAATGGATATGGACCATATGACATAGATATAGATTTAGGATTTGAACTTTTTGAGGCAGAAAAGTAAGATTTAAAAAAAAAAAAAAAACCCAAAAAATTGTGAGGTCATTTGACCCCACGTGGATCCGCCCCTGGTTTGAAGTTACCGGGCAACAGAGTAACTTTGTAAGTTTCTCTCGAAAGATTGTAGGAGTTAAAGCACCTTAAAATTGAATCAAAGAACACAAATCAGTTTCTAACCAACTGTATAACAAGAATTAAAGCCTTGTAATTGCAAAATAACGCGTCCTTGTCGATTCCAATCAATTTGACAGCAATCTCAGTCCCCAACCTTGCATTTTTATAAGTTTGGGTCCTCCAACGACAATTTTTACTCTAAAAACTCGAGTTTTGTTTTGAAGGACAACTTTATCTCATGTCTAATTAAACAAAAAAATGGATGTATTGTGCGGTATTGTCCTCAAATCTATGTGAAATGTAACAAACGTTGGTGCATAAGAAAATCTTGTATTCGACTGTATGTTAGGAATTGTGAGATCAAATTGATTGGACATTGAGTTGCGGATTGCTGGTTGTTATGGAAATCCAAACAACTTCCTACTGTATAATTTGCACAAATTGTTGGTGTGACTTTAATCCATTCGAGGAATTAATTTGGATATGTTTTTGCTTACTTTATTATGCATGGCCCCCTCGGGTGAGATTAAGAGTAGGATTAATTTATTTGTACGCTTTCGATGTACATAATAGATGACACCCCTCACATGAAAGGAAGTCCACACATAATTTATTATGCATGACCCCCTCCATGTGAGGGGTGTCATCTATTATGTACATTGAAAGCGTACAAATAAATTAATCATACTCTTAATCTCACCCCACTCAACCCTAATCCACCACGATACCACTTGAAAAGCAGCTCCACCTCATCATTATAGCTAGCGCCAGCACCACCTCCACCAATACCTCATCACCACAACCACCAATAAAACCACCGCCATCAGCAATATTAGGGCTGGATATGGTCCGATTCGATTCGGTTCTAACGACAACTGAATTGACCCGAAATTTTTGAGCATTTAGTAAGTGGAACCGTCAGATTCAAATTTAATTATGGAACTGTTCGAGTTCGATTCCATTCGGCTCAGTTCGGTTCAATTCGATTCTCATGTTCCTTATTATAATTAATTTTTTTAATATTTACAAAGTTACATCAATTCAACTAATAATATGTTTCAATTTTAGCTCTTACAAAATAACGTAATCCAATCTTATGTGTCTTTTGTGTCTCTCTTTGTTGTGTTCTTCATAAATTTGTTTGATAAAATTACAAGAAGAGTAAGATAGCGAGCTCAAAATAATTAAGAGAGGTGTTGTCGAAATTTAATTCGATTCCTCCAAAAATGTTTTCATTGATCTAACTTTATTAG